GTTCCTATTGGAACGGATTATCCGGTTTTCAATGCATCTCTATGGGAAAACACGTTTCACTTAACGATGTTTTCCCATAGCGATGTTTTTTTTGGAACCAATTAACCTCGCTATGCGAGGCACCACTGTAAATCACAGAATGATAGACTCGCTGGGTTGGAAGGGGCTTTTAAGGCCATTGTGTCCAAACCCCTCCTGAAGGCGGGAATCCCGATCCAAGGAGATCGGATTGTCTAAATTTCTCTTGAAGGCCTCCAGGGTTGGAACCCTCACCACCTTGCGGCATCATGGTTTCCACCGTTGTGCTGCTCTAACAGTTAAGAAGTCTTTTCTTGATATCCGACCTAAATCTGGCTTCCTGTCGCTTGAGCCCATTGTTACGTTCTGGGATGATTGAGGACAGATCCTGCCCCTCCTCTGTAGGACTGCCTTTCAAGTCTTTGCAAAGGGCTCTCCTATCTCTCCCGTCAGCCTTATTTTCTCAAGGCTAAAGATTCCCAGTTCTTTCAGCCTTTCCTGATAAGGCTTGGTTTCCAGCCCCCTGATCATCATCCTTGTTGCCCTCCTCTGAACTTTTTCCAATTTTGTCAGCACCCTTCTTGAAGTATGGTGTCCAGCACTGGACACAGTACTCAAAATGAGGTCAAACCATTAAAAAGCAATTAAACATAGTAATATTAAAATAGTCAACAAAGAATAACTTTGAAAACTTAAAAAAAAACCTTGAAAGGGTCATAGAAACCTAAAGAGTGCAAGAGTGGAGACCTTAATGGCTAACCCATAATGCTAACTCCACTTTTCTTTATTTATAGCTAAATTTGTAGCTTTGAAAAGTTACCTCTTGGGAGGATGGCTCCCAAAATTCCTTCTCCTGTACGGCCCTTGCAGAGTTCTGATCCAAAAATCAACACTTCCAGAGCCTGCCTAAATGATATATGAAAGAATGCCCAGGACCCTATTGCTCATTTACCCATCTGTAAAGGAAGCCTCGGTAGCAAATTGCCACTGACTCACGAGGTGCAGATTGCGTTCCTGGGTGTGCCTCTTTTCCCAGGTGCATCTGGGAATGCAGCCGATACCTCGTTAACGAGCGGCGCTTTGCCATCAACGGTTGAGTGATTCCCCCTTATGCAGGCATCAGTCAGCAATAGGATTCTGGCCAGCGACTGTTTCAAAAGTGGTGCTGCGGGTGAGGGGGAAAGGAGTGGTCGAGTCTTGCCAGACGTTTGGAGCCTGTGAGGAAAAGAACTTCCACCCTCAAGGAATTATAGCCACAGGGCCTGCTATTCTTTGCAAGCAGAGACACAGACTTCGGGGGTCCTCCGCTCAACTCTGGCAGTGATCGGTGACCTGAACTTGTGAGAAATACACAGGGTGTTTTACAAGGCTATTCTCGAAAACAGCCAGAGACGGGTTTAAGCTTTCTGGCTCTCTTTCAAGAGGATTTCCCTTCACAGTTATTTTTTAGAAAGAGTGTGATGTCCTCTCCTGTCCTTAGCCTCCCACCGCTTCTGACCTGGAAGGCCAATGGGCCCCTTTGGTCAATTGATAAAAACGGCTTTTCTCGTTGACCGAGCTGTCTCCAAAGTTTCCTTGAAAGTGGTTCTTAACGACCCGGCCACCCTCTCTTGAGTCCAGCCAGGAAGCCTACCTGGAAAGGCCCTGTCGACAGAAAGGAACCGGCCGTCGGCAGGGACACGGTGGCCTGAATGATGCCCCAGCCTGGGAGGCAGCCAGCCTGACGGTTCATCCAGAGGGCTTAATAGAGAGCAATTGATGCACGCACGCCTGGTTCAGTTGCAGCCTAGCGGGAGTAGATAACAGCCCCCTAATCGGCAACGGTAGGAAGGTTAAGTGACGCTCATCTGCAAGACCTTATGTTTCAGAGCTTCCCAGCGCCTGTCTTCTCGATTTATGTACCATCCATTATCTCCTCCAGCTAAAATATGCAGTGGCGTTCTGGGATGAGATGGCCAGAGGGCTTCCGCGTGGCGAAGTGATAAGGATGTTGTGGGATGTCAAATGTGTCCCAATTGCGGTGGCACCAGAGCGCCAGCGGTGCTCGAGCAGAGCGCAGACGGTTTTCATTCGTGAACTCGATCGCTGAGCTGCGGACCTGAAGGGAAAAGGGTTGCTTACCTCCCCCGGGGTCAATTCAAACGGCCTTTCGCTCCCGTCCATGCCAGGGTTTTTTTTATTAAAGCCGAAACAGGCAGGACTCCCTGCCAGGGACGAAATCTGCCATTGCCAACTTTCCGCCCTCAGGATTATGAGCAAGTTGAGGAAAGTCCATTCTTTGGAACAGGAGAGATCGAAGACCAGCCGTGGCTGCGCGAAAATGGCAGCTGTGCCGTTAGCCTTTTCTCCGAGATGTCCTCTGGTCAAACCAGAGGTGGAAGAAATGATTTGCTTGGACTGCAGCATGGAGAGGCAGCCCAAATTAAAAGTAACTCTTTCCCCGTCTCTCTCTCTCTCTCTCTCTCACAGTTAACCGTGGGGCGCCTAGGAAAGGTCGTGGAGGAGAAGAAATCCATCACCTTGCAAGACATCAGCTTGGTGGGTCTCTCTTGCTTTCCAGAGTGGTCTCGATCCTGCTCAGTAGGGATGCTTTGAGGCACGGTGTGTCATTTTGGGGCAACAACACCTCCAAGTGACCCTGTTTCCAGGGTTTCGGACCTTCCCCTGCTTCAACTGAATCCAGCAGAATCTAGACGTCCCATTCAGACCTGGATAATTGGGCCGTCTAGTCACAGCCTTAGTGGCAGGAAGATGCTTTGGGATCCGTATCGCTAAGCAGGACGTGTGCCCTTTTGCTTAGGGCACCGGTAGCTGGCGAGGACGAAAGGGGCTCGTGAGACAAGGCAGGTCAGAGAGGCCAGCCAAACAACGTTGCTTTATACCTGAACTGCAGTCCTCGGAAGGGGTGGGTGGGGGTTTCCATTTGTCTGTGCTTTCCTCAAAATAACCCACAGAGCCGGTCTAGAAAGATGATGTGTGCTGAGGAGCCTGGCTGAGTTATTTAGCCAGGTCTCTCGGGTAATCCATCATCCGTGCTTGAATCCACAAGCAGGCCAAAAGGTGAGGAGGAGGGAACGGGGACGAGAATACAATTTCTGGCTGGAGAAGTAATGGGGGAAGAAAGCACGTTCTCTCGTTCTGTGGCTGAGCAGCGGGCGAGCGAGGGGGTGGCTGCCCTGTCACTCGGAGAGGATTTGGAGAGGGAGAGGCAGGAAGGTTTGCTCGCTTGGCTTGGCCGGAAAAGGGGGCCTGGGCGTTGGGTGGGACGAGGCAAAAACGGGCTGGTCAGGCAAAAAGCTTCCCTCCGAGCTGGTGTGATCGTCCAGGGAGGTGGTAAATGTTGGCCATGCCCTGGCCAAACGTTCATCCCCGATGCTCCCTGGGCAAATGGCAACGAAAACTGGAGATCCATAGGAAGAAGACAAGGGCCCCGATAGGCAGGGGGCTGTTTGGAGAGCCTGGGTTTCTCAGGGTTGGACCTTGCCTTCCCTTCTCACCTGTTTGGTTGAAACATCGCCCCTTGGGAGTAGAAAACCCGTTTTTTAAAAAAATGTGTGTGTGTGTGTGTTCTTAGTTCTCAAACAAAAGAAAACAACAAGTATACAATGCATCAACTTAAAATAAACAAAATCACAGTTATGGACCCTGTGCTACTACTACCCCCACCCCCACCCTCGGGAGTTGTTTTCATTTTATTTTTCATTATACTTCATCCGGCCCCATTCCTCTCCAAAGAATACAGCGATTCTTCTCTTTTCCCTTTCTGAGACCCATAAACCACCACTAACTTCCACATGTCTTCAAAATCATTCCATTGCCATGTTCCTTTTCTAATCCTGGGGTCACTGGTTAATTTATCATCAACAGCCCTATTGTACATTTCTTTATATGCCATTCTCCATAGTGAATTGATTATTATTCCTCCAGTTCTTTGCAGCTATCAGCCTTGCCACCGTCACCCTAATCATAATTAATTCCTTTTCTTCTCTCTCCAATTGGTTATTGTTAACCGTCTTCAACCAAGCCGCTGTTGGAGACCTTTGGACATCAGCGCTCCTTATTTCTGTGACCGCCTTCAGAAGCCTTGGCTGGCGTCACTCAGAGAGAGGCCTTTGGGGCACATGGGCTAGCTAGGGTGCTGACCCCGGACTCTCGGGGATCACGGGATGGCGTAGCTGCCATATCACCCCATTGACCCAGGAATCTGGCCCCTAAGAAACAGTGGGGCCAGACGTCACCGTTGGCTACGGAAGTGCAAGTCAGAAACAGACACTGTTCTTCTGCTCTTGTCTGCTCAGAATGTCACCCTTTCTGCAAGTCTTTGACCCTGTGCCTCGACTGGTTCTTTCCTGCCCATGGGCATGGGAGACCATGGGGGGGGATGCTGAGAACTGAAGCCCATCGGACTTGGCTGTCCTTCTTGGAACGCAGCTGGCACCGTCAGCCTTTTCCCCACCTGACGCTTCTCTGTGTTCTTAGCCAAGTGGCTGCGGAATGGAGACGCAGCAAAACCATGCGCAGGGAACCGGCACATCCGCAGAAGGTTGCCCTTGTTGCGCCAAGAGCCCGACCCCATGCGTCCTCGGAGAGGGAACTGTCCCATCGACTTGGCTGCAACAGGGGGGAAAGTCCACCTAAACCAAGTGAGAGCTGGTTTCCCCATATGGTTCGGTTTATGCTTGGCTGCCGGGCGCGGCTGGAGGATGGAGGGTTCTGCCCAAGCCATCTCTTCTGCAGGCGTGGATTGAATGGTTGAGATGGAACGTTGCTGCACCAGCATTTGCGAGCGGGGGGGGGAGCGGTGTGCCTGCGAAGACGGCCGTTTGCTCCGCTCTCTCCTCCAGCCACCCCATGTGAAAAGCTTGAAAATGGCGCCTTTTATGGGATTGCAACTCCCAGAGTCCTCCAACCAGCCGGGAGCAGCGGATGGAGTCTCTGGGACTCATTGTCAAGTTGGACTTAAAGTCTCACCCGCAACTTGCCTCCGACTCGGCTCTGGGTTGTGGTCACTTTTTTCAATGACTTGGACTCAATGTGCCACTCGGAGCCCCCCCCTTTTTTCCCGGGGGGGGAGCCTATTTTTAACAAGGGACTCGGATTTGATACCAAAGACTGATCATCCCCACCAACCAGGTCTTCCAAGGGTTGTAGTTGAAAAAAGTAGCTTTTACAAAGCCAGTGGGAACGGTCTTGGTTCAATCCCTTGCGTTTCCAAGCAGGGCTGAGAAAAAGACTCTCCTGAGAGCCCAGAGGAGCCCTGGCTGCTGCCGGTCAGAGCCAGCGACACCGGGCCAGATGGCAACGGAGGGGCCTGCGTCGTCCGTTCCTGTTCCTTTAGAGCCCCAGAGCAAGACTGACTGGCTGATGTTTTCCTAAGCCTTTTCAAATATCGATTAACAACATTTTCATTTGCCTCTCTCTCTCTCTCTCTCTCTCTCTCTCTCTCTCTCTCTCTCTCTCTTTTATCCAGCCTTAAGACCCCTGTACCCAGAGGGTATCCGTTCCAAGGGTCCCCCTCCCCTCAGATGCTGAAAAAATGGGGATAATAGCAAGGACTATTTTAATAACTAACTTCATATCTAACATGGTCTCTGACTCCCTCTAAGTGGTCGGTTCTGGTAACTTCATCTTTAGACCTACATCTTTCTAGGAATTTATTTTTAGCATCTTTAGTATTTTCAGACCATGGATCAGTGGATGCTGATCCCACAGATACTATAAAATGTTGTATTGTGATGCTTGAAAACACACACACACACACATCTATATGCACACAATATTAACTGCTTCTTGTTAGCTGCCCAGAAAGTCTTGAAGGTAAGGGATGGGGAGAGGAATCCCCGAAAGCTGAAAGCCAGCGCATCATGGACAAGGCTGGTTCCGAACCCTTCTTCCAGACCGGGTAGATTTTGGGATGCAGGGAACGTTTTGTGCTCTTTGAACGTTTCGCTGCAGTTCTAAGTCCTGAGAGGGATCTTCTCTCTGGCGGGGGTCTTGACTTTCCCCGTGTCCTCTCCTTTCCTCCCCGCAGGAGGAGCACAAGCAGCTGAACAACATGCTGGGCTTTGAAGTGACGGCCATGCTCTGCGTCCCGGTCATCAGCAGGGCCACCTCGCAGGTGGTCGCTCTGGCCTGTGCTTTCAACAAGATTGGGGGAGAGAGGTGAGTGGACCGCACTGCAGGGGCCAAGGTGGGGACACCCCTCTTCCCAGAGAGACTCAGCTGGCTGCGGGGATTCCCACCCCCCAGGAAGGGGTGCCCCTGCCCTGCCATTGGGAGACCAGAGTGCCCCAGCTTTGGGGATGATGCTTCCCCCTTCCAGACCTGACTGGTGCCAGCACCGAGACGTCCTTGAACGACTTCAGTTACATCCTGTCTCTTCCCATAGTTTGGTTTTATAATCCTCTGTTTTTGTGTTCTGTCCCTTCTCACAACGTTCTGCAAAGTGCTTCAATGTCTTTGGATTGCTTCCAGTTGGATTTATTGATCGTTCCCCACACAGAGATTTGTTCAAAGAGGACAGGTTAGGAAAGGCTTCATAAACAACAAAATGACCTCCGAGGTGATCTGGGGGAAAATACTGAAAGGCTTTCAACCTCCTTCACGTCTTAATTTTATCTACAGGCTGTCAATTTGCTTTTTGCGTTTGCTGCAGCAATTTCCTTGCCACTGTTTTTAATAACTCATTTTTACAAATGTTCTTGTAGTTTGCATTAAATTGATTTGAGCGACTCTGGGTTTTTTTTGGGGGGGGGGAGTGTGCGACTTGTTCCCTACAGAAATAAATTGGTCAAGATTGTTTTACTTAGACTCACTGAGGCCTCCTCTTCTGCAAAGTGTGAATTGATTCCCAGCAGAGCGGGCAACCTCCAGAAACCCCAGGGCAGGGTGGCCTTGCTCACAGGGAGAGCCGGCAGAAGCACCTCTCCTGGGCTCTGTCGCTGAGTGCTCAGCGGCTTCCTGAATAGGGCCCAAAGACTGAGAGCGCTGGGCCAGTTTAGCCCCAAAGAAAGAAGACAGAGGGGAGATACGTAGGAGAGCCCTCTTCGAAGACTTGAAAGGCTGTCCTGCGCAGGAGGGGCAGGATCCGCTCTCGATCCTCCCAGAGTGCAGGACACGCAAGCGTGGGCTCAGCTTAGATTTAGGTTGAATATCAAGAAAAAATTTCTAACTGTTTGAGTGGTATGACAATGGAACCTCGGGAAAAGGTGGTGAGCGCTCCAACGCTGGGGGCCTTCAAGAGGACACTGGACGGCCCTCTGCCCGCTTGACTTTGCTTTGGATTCCTGCATCAAGCGGGGGGGGGTTAGACTCGATGGCCTCAGAGGCCCCTTCCGACTTCATGATTCCAGGATTCTGTGGGTCATGCCCTGCCATGTGCTCTTTCTCCTGTCTTGGTGCCCAAGCCCCTCCGTTCATCCTGATGTCCATGCACTGGACCTGGACAGGAATGCCCAGGCACAGTCGGGTGGAGAAGCTGAACAAGATCCGGACACCGTACAGGGCAGTTCCACCCCCCCACCCACCCCGATGTGGGAACCCTCGTACGCGCAAGGACCGCCTTATGTCTAGAGGGTGCCCCTGCAGGCCACCCTCCCCTCTCCACGGGGTAGCGTTGGAGGACAGGGCTAGCCCAAAGAGGCAAAGTTGAGGCATTAACACCCCCCCCCCGTGAGTGCCCTCCACATGAGGAATATGGGTGGGAAGGTCTGCTAAATGCTTGTTTATTTATTTATTTATTTATTTATTTAATTTATATGCCGCCCACTCTACCCAAAGGTCTCTGGGCGGCTTACAACAATTAAAATTCAATGCAATAAAATAAAATGATTAAAATACAGTTAAAATACAATTAAAATACAATTAAAAAATACAATTAAAATTGTATTTTTAGGCGTGTTTACAATTCTGCCTCGTTTATTTCACCAGTTGGTAGGACATGGGATGCTTGATAGCTCTTGTGCCACAGTATGGGGATTCTTAACGGTATCTACTAGATGAGAGATGATGTCCCTAATGCAGCAAGACGACCCCCCCCCGGTATCCACGGGGATTGGTTCCAAGCCCCCGTGGATGCTGAAAATTTCTCAGTGTAAACAGTGAAAGCCCAGCCAGAATAATAAGCGGTTACGTAGATGGCAGAAGGTCAAAAGAGACAGAATCCACTGAACGTCCAGTGTCAGGGAGTCCCATAGTCCAAACTCACGTGTGCTTCTCCTTCTCCCTCTTCCTCCTGCAGCTACACAGATGTCGATGAGCACAAAATCCAGCACTGCTTTTGCTACACCTCCACCGTCCTGACCAGCACCCTGGCCTTCCAGAAGGAGCAGAAGCTGAAATGTGAATGTCAGGTCAGTGGAACACATCCGCACACTTAAGCCTGCCTGCTTTCCCTTGGCTCTACCCTCCTCTATGGAGCTACTCAGAGGAAGGAACAGGCACCAACCCTCCCCAAGGCCCTCTCCACATCACACACTCAAACCAGTGAAAGTAGTTTTTGTTGTTGTTGTTGTTTGGTGACCCTTCTGTTCACTCTTGTTCTGTGCGAGGGGCGGATTGACTTTATCTCGCCGTGCCACTTCACCCTGCCTTCAAACTACAACTCCCAGGTTTCTTTTGGGATCGCCATGATTTGTAAAAAATGGAGCCAACTCTTGTGTTTCCAGAGCATCTCTGTCCCAGTTATGGACCTCGGTCTTTTGGGGCACGAGAGAGACTTTTCAACAGGGAGAAAGTCTGAGCTGAGACTCGCTCGGGACCTGTCATTCGAAAACTCTCTGCTGCGATTTTTTGAGGGCGGTGAGGGGAGGTGCCTGGGAGGGACAGAGGAAATGAAACTACCTTCCATCTGTTGAATTTCCAGATTACAGCTGGGTTGAACTTTAGAGACACCTCTTCAACACATAGCTGCTGAGTGCCTTTTTTTTTTACTGAACGACACAATATTTGTTTGCTTCTGAAAACCATGACCCTCCCTCATTTCCTGTGACTTCTGAATGAGGCTGTAGAAAATGGATGTGGGTTTACCCCTCGTAAAGCATCATTTTAGGCTTGTTTACCGAGGGAAGCTCCCCACTTTTCTGGACACCCTTTCCATTGACCCCTTAACCTTTGAACTCCTTTTCATATCCAACTCTTGGGCATCTGTTTCCACGTGGCGAGAGCTATCCAGCAGCTTCTCAGGGCTCCCAAGTGAAGCCGAGCGGTTCTGGGGTCTGTCATTTTCACGGGGCTTCTGACACTCAGAAGAGAAGAGGCACCGTCTCGTACCTGCCAGCCAAATGATGACATGAAAGGACCGGGGAACTCAGGGGTCCAGAGAACAGGCCAAGATCAAGAGGCAGGGAAACTGCCCCAGTGCAGCGGGCAGAAAACTTGAGAATCCCAACAATGCAAACACGCTCACCCCATCCCCAAGCATGCCTTGTTCAGGATTGTACCCAGGGGTGGGGTTGGGGGAACCTGCAGAATTCTCCTCTCTTCTGATATTTCAGGGGCTTCCCTAAACTTTGGGGGCCTTTAAATCCATGGTTCTCTAGAATTACACATCTGCACCCACTCTGTGTGTTGCATGTGTGTGTGTCGTTTTTGCAAAAAGACCACAAAAATCTGTCTAGCGTCCAGGAGAAGTGATAGGATGACCGGTGTGCAGAGGGCGCCCCCTTCTGGCATAAGGAGACATGGCAGGGCAAAAAAAACCCACCTGGTGTTATCATTAATATATATGTATGACATTGACTTGAGGTGGAAGCAATTCCTTTTCATGCCGGAAGCATGAAGGTTTGGACGTTGGAATCACCAGTTTGGAAAAGGGCAATAGCTGATAAGAAAGATCGTGCAGAGCTGCTAGCGGTTAAGAGAAGTCCTCAAGTCATAACTGCAGTCCAAGAACACCTGGATGACCCCAGGTTGGCAGCCACAGGTCTGTCTCTGATATAAGGCAGAGATGGAGATGTGACATTTTGGGGTCTGCTAGTTCCCGGAAACCCCCAAACACCAATCAGGGAATTCTAGGAGCTAGACTTCCCAAGGGCTCGTCCGTAAGCGATCCTCTCTCTTGGTCCTTCCACCTTCAGTGTTTAAAAGGAGAAGCCACCATGGCTGCGTCACAACAAGGGACCTTCCACATAGATTAGATGGAGCATCATGGGGCTGGGGGGATGTTCAGAGAGCATCTATTCAAGCCCCTGCTCCATTTAGGAAATGCAGAGCGGATGGGCAACTCCAGAGAAGACCCTTCTGCCTTTCTCTTTGTCTGGTCCTCTTGCTTCTCGAGTCGATGCTGCACCTCAGTTTAAGTGGTCCCAACATTTCTGAAATATGATTTTTTTTTCACAAACAAAGGTGACATGGTTAAAATCCTGCTTCAGACGTGTTTTGATTCCTCCTCCAATAGCACCACTCTGGAACGGCTTGATTTCTGTTGAGATGGGAGATTTCTGCCCTCCTACTTAATTTTAGTTGTGAGTTGCCAGAAAGAGACATTGACTCTCCTCTCTCCTCCTTGCAGGCTCTGTTGCAAGTGGCCAAGAACCTTTTCACGCATCTGGGTATGTATGGTGGCTCAGCCTCTTTTGCATTTCTGTGGGTGAAGCGGGGTCGAAGGCTGGCAGGCACGTCTGAGGAAGATTTATTCTGTGTGAAGGAAAATGGGCCCAAGGTGGTTTTGGCCTCTGGGCCTGCTCCTGAAAGTCACGGTGGCCTGAAATAAACAGAAACCTGGTGCTCAATCGAGAAGGCCCGTTGCATTGCCTTAGTTGTGGTCTCTCTGCCTCTCACTCCTCACTCCTTGTAAAATGGGCATACTATCCAAACATCCCTGATGAAATTCTAAAAGGCTTGAACCCACCCTATTAGGAGATCCCAGGGTTCTGTCACCATATTGAATGTGGTGAATCTCAGGAAAAAAAACTTCTTAACTGTTCGAGCGGTACAACAACAGAAGGAATGACTTCAGGGGAGGGGATGAGCGCTCCAGCGCGGGACACCTTCAGGATACAATTGGAAGGAAGACCATCTCTCAGATCGGCTTGGATTTCCATTCCTGCCTTGAGCAGGGGGTTGGACTGGGTGACCTCAGAGGCCCCTTCACGATTCTAGGGTTCTATATTTGGCATCAAGGGGACTGTTGTTTCCTGTTAGGCCACAGGCTTTGCTGTCAGAACTTTGAAAGGTTTGGGAAGTTGGGATTCTGGGAGTGGAAGTAAAAGCAACATTAACTCCCAGGGCTGGTCTCAGTTGCCTATGTGTGGACTTCCAGGGGGGAACACAGGGCTAAATCTGCTCCCTGCTAGAGAAGACTCGTGGAATCAGTGGCCAAAATCCACCACCCAACAGGATTCAAACCTCTGGGGCTGAGAGGGATTTTAACAGAAAGGACGAATAAACCCCCCTCCTCGGCTCTTTCCTTTCCTAATCCGCCGCCCTCTTTTTTTGCCCTCACAGACGATGTATCGGTGCTGCTGCAAGAGATTATCACGGAAGCGCGGAATCTGAGCAATGCTGAAATGTGAGTCTCTGGCTGGGCAAGAGAGGGGAAGGGGGTCCTCCCGGGTGCCCCCCACCTGTTCCCACAGCAGGCGGACCCATAGGAGTGCCAGCCCCCAGCCAGAGACGTCATCATCCCCTTACTGGTGGTTCTTTGGATGAGTTGGGGATATTTATATCAAACACCCCCAGCCGGGCTGTTGAGAAAGCTGGGGTGAGGGTGGGTTTGAGGGGACATGCAGTCCAAGGCTGACTTTGGACCTTCCCTTGTCCCAGCAGAGCAGAAGGTCCTCCAGCCAGCCACCCCATTCCCAGTGGTCGGACTTTTGCTGAGAATCAGGGCAGAAGGCCTGGAGAAATGAGTTTGGTGACATTTCACTGCGCCAACTTCTTTCTCTTCCTTTCTCAAGAGTGTTGGGACAATCAGCTGCTTCTCCCTGTTTTTTTAACACCAGGAGCTCAGGGTTTGGAAATAAAGTGTCAAATATAACAGGTTAGCATTAAAATCATGACTTTTGCATTAGAAAGAAGGCATCTAATCTTTCAGGACATCATGTTTTGGAAGTAATTTGAAAGCATGAGTTTCAACACACTTTTCTTTCGGTGGCTTCAGCTTCAATTTGTGCAGAAATAGCAATCATATTTTTCTGTGTATAATACGCCCCCATGTATAAGACACCCCCTTTCTAACCCAAAAATTCTTTCTTTGCAAGAAAGTGGAGGGGTAAAGCAATTCCTGCTTTCCCCCTTCATTTTTATTGCAAAAAAGCAGGTTTCTCCCTCCATGTTTTGCAAAGAAAATGGGGGGTGGAAAGCAATTTCTGCTTTCCCCTTACATTTTTGTTGCAAATGTTTTGCAATGAAAATGTATTGCAATGAAAATATTTGCAAAAAAATGTAAGGGGAAAGCAGAAACCGCTTTCTCCCTCCATTTTCTTTGCAAAATGTGGAGGGGGAAAGTAGGGATCAAAGTGCTTTGATCCCTGCCTCCCCCTTACTTCCCAGTATAAAACAACCCTCAACTTTTCCTTTCATTATTTTAGGAAAAAGTGTCATTTTATATACATGGAAAAAATACGGCATTTTCATGTTAACTCATTATTTCCTATCTCTGTTAAAGGGTCCAGCTCTAAGTTATAGATAAGTTTTCATCAGAAGGGAGAATTTCATAAGTTTGGAAAGCATCATATTCTCACAAGTGTTGTTATCCCCCTTAATTTGCTTGTTCCATTTCATGGTGAGGTTTGTTTGTTTGTTTGTTTGTTTGTTTGTTTGTTTGATTGATTGATTGATTGATTGATGGGATTTCTTTGCAAGCCCAAGTTCTCAGATCCTGAGGTCTGCCTGAATCACATCTCCCGATCGCTTAATGTGATTTCCGGCTCTCCTGATTGATTATCTTTAATGCTGAGAAAGACAATACTGCTAGGGAAAGGTGGGAGGCAGCAGGAAAAGAGGAAGACCCAATACGAGATCGATTGACTCCGTAAAGGAAGTCACAGGCTTGAATTCGCAAGAGCTGAGCAGGGCACTTGAGGACCCCCCCTTTCTGAAGATCTCTCATCCATTGGGTCCCTATTTATCTGAGCTTGATGGTATATAATAATTACATCCTGGGATCTCATGGTTTCTTGTTGTTGTTTCTTGATTAAGTCGTGTCCGACTCTTTGTGACCCCCCCATGGACCAGAGCACGCCAGGCCCTCCTGTCTTCCACTGCCTCCCGGAGTTTGGGGTCAAATTCATGTTGGTTTCTTAGCTGCCATTTAAATTGTTGTACACAGAAGTACTGAGAATACTGCAGACTTTGTTTCTGATAAAGCGTTATCACATAAAACATTATTGGCCTCTCTCCCTCTCTCTCTCTCTCTCTCCCAGACTTTGTTTCTGATAAAGCGTTATCATATAAAACATTATTGGCCTCTCTCTGTCTCCCCCTCCATCATCATCATTATCCATCACCAGTTACAATTATTTTTATTACACTGTCAGCCGGGGGGGGGCGTCTTTACGAAGTACAAGCAGATAGGTCCCTGCCCCAAAGCAGTTACAATCTAAAATATGAGACAGAAAACAGAGGCAGAAGAAGGAAGGAGACATAAGGGTAGAGAGATAAATTAAGAAGTGGCCGTTTCTGTTGCATTCCCTTAGGCTTCGCTTCAGGCAGAGTAACAGCAAGGCAAGAAATGAAAGAATAATGCCAAAGGCAGGCCAGAAAAGGTGGATTTTCAAGAATGGTTAAAGGGGAAACTGGGATCGGCCTCACACAGATAGTCTGGGAAGCAGTTCCCAGTGTATAAGGCTGCAAGGGAGAAGGGGTGGCAGGTAAAAACAAATAAATTGAAATGTGGTTCATGATTATGTGCAATAATAATTCCATCAAGGCAGCCAAGAGGCCAAGACCAAACGCATAAGGAATTCAAAAGGAAAGGGGAAAGATGTTTTAGGTGGATGGATTTTAGAGAGGGTTGAAAGTAAAATACGGGTGAAATATAAATCAGCTGTTTTTTTATTTATTTTACTTATTAGTTTAAACTGTTTTCAACCGGCCTTTCCCCTTAAAAAGGACCTGAGGTGGTATAAAACAATTAAAAGGCAACATTTAAGCGGATAACAGCGAGTGTACAATACTAAAAGGATCGGTGAATGCAAGACCAAATAACCAGAAGCCACACCAATGCACTTGCAGAGCAGGAAGGCAGAGCCCTCCGATTGAAACCCCTCTTGGACCACCAGGCCATCGGGAAAAGCCTTCCCCCTCTAGAAAGGACTTTGCCTGCTTGCAAACAGACAAGCGAGGATGGGGCCAGCCGGGCCTCTTGGGGGCTGGTGCTGGATCCTGTCCTGCCCAAGGGTCCCCACCTGCTGATTTGCTTTGGCACTTGGGTGCTGTAGCAGCCAAAGGTGACGTTTTCAGATCAAAACTCCCATTTCCTCCCTTCGAACAAGGCACATGCCTTGTTCACACCTCGTTCTGTCTTCCTGGAAGCAGATGAGCCCCTTGGCGGAAGGCAGAAAGGGCAGGTGCCGAGCAAAATGTCACTTTTTCCTGGCGAGTCTTAAAAATTACAGTGGCAAAAAAAAGCCATGGCAGAACCGCAGCGCAATCTTGCCTGGGTTTGGGGTGGGGTGGATCATGGGCGCCAGACCTGCAGAGATCTCTCACCACAACACAAGGAAGTCCTCGTCAAGAAGCCTTGGCTTTATTGTATTTTGGGAGCCCCCCAGAGCAGGGGAACCCTCACAGGGCTGTTGTTGTTGTTTAGTCGTTTAGTGGGGGGAACCCTCACAGGGCTGTTGTTGTTTAGTCATTAAGTCGTGCCTGACCCTTCGTGACCCCCATGGACCAGAGCACGCCAGGCCCTCCTGTCTTCCTCTGCCTCCCGGAGTTGGGTCAAATTCATGTTGGTCACTTCGATGACCCTGTCCAACCATCTCGTCCTCTGTCGTCCCCTTCTCCTCTTGCCTTCATACTTTCCTAACATCAGGGTCTTATCCAGGGAGTCTTCTCTTCTCATGAGATGGCAAAAGTCTTGGAGTCTCGGCTTCAGGATCTGTCCTTCCAGTGACCACTCAGGGTTGATTTCCTTCAGAACAGAGAGGTTTGATCTCCTTCCAGTCCAGGGGACTCTCAAGAGCCTCCTTCAGCACCACAATGGGGCTGTAGAGAGATGGAACTGAATGAATGAAGTAATTATTAGGTGCCTGCCCATCTTAAACAGAATGTGAAGCAGGAAGGAATTGCTGAAGGAAAGGTTGGTGTGGTTGTGGTTGTCGTGTGCCACCAAGTCACCTCCCGCTTAAGGCGACCCCATGAATCAGCCGTCTCCTAAAGGTCCTTTTCCTGCTCAGCTCTTGCAGGTCCAGCCCCGGAAGCTTCCTTTAGGGAGCTGCTCCATCCCATAATTTGGTCTTCCTCTTTTCCTGCTGCTTTCCACCTTTCCCAACTTTCTTGTCTTTTCCAGACAGAAATCCTGCCTTCTCACAGTAGAGCAGCCTCAGTCCCCACTTTTTTTGCCCCCAAAGAGAGAGAGAGAGAGTTTGGGCTTGATTTGATCTACGACCCACTTCTTGGGCTTGATTTGATCTACGACCCTCTTGTTTGTCTTTCTGGCAACTCCGGGATCAGAAAGCACCACATATCAAACAAAACGACCCACTTCTTTGTCTTTCTGGCAACTCTGGGATCAGAAAGCACCACATATCAAACAAATTGTGTTTTTTTCCTGCAAGAAATGCCAGTGTGAATATAATCCACAAGATGGAGTAACTTTTCCATGCAGCGATTCTTAGACATAATTATCTGCAAATTAACTCTTCCCCGTGTTCCCCAGGGAGACCATTAGGAACTTAATCATCCTCCAGCATCCAATAAAACAGTTACTACAGACAATATTTGCAGAAAGCAGAACGACCAGCATTTAAACCGTAGTTTTCGACACCTACGCTCCACCAGCCTGCTGTCTTCCCTACTAGAGATTTGCCAGTTTTGGGGGTCGGAATTCTAAACGTTTTGTCCCCAAGCTCTGGACTTGAGCAGCGGCCCCTCTCCCTTGAGAAAGCAGCTATTATTTAAAAAGGGATGGCGAGAGCAGAGGGTAGCCCCCCCCCACTAAGAGATGCACCCATCTTCCTCATTCTCTCTTTGAAGAAGTCCTCTCACTTTTCGGGTTGGGGACGTGTGTGTTCCTCTTGCAGATGCTCCGTTTTCCTGCTGGACAGAATCAGCCACGAATTGGTGGCCAAGGTTTTTGATGGAGGCGTGGTGGATGATGAGGTAAGAGGCACAGAGCATTGACCCAGGCAGGGAGTTGGCTTGGGGCCACACCAAAGCTCATCTCTGGGTCCTGCTCTCGGGGGGGGGGAGATGCCACTGTTCGGGGCAAACGCATACAATTTAGGTGTTGGTTCACAAAGGTTCAGACACCAGGTGACGGAAAAGGTATTTCTCTGCCCAATAAACGACTCTCTTGAGCTGTGTGCCTGGGCACCTGATGGACTAGATTGGTCCGGAGGGGAGTCTGTACCTGAAGTCTTAATCCTGTCCTTTAAATTTATGGTGGGGAGCAAGACCCGGTTTGCTGAGAAACAGCCTCAAAGGGAGCCAAGCTCCGGGGTCTCTGCCATGGGACCAAAGAATCTGCCCTCAAACATCTAAAACATCTTATGTCTCAGAGTCTGCAAGAGACATTGGTAGAGCTTAACATTTTAAATCTAAATTAGCTCTGTGAGGACTTGGTTTTTCTTACTCTCATTCCTCCCTCTGGCAATGCTTTTCAAAATTCTACATTTTTATTACTGAAAAAAAAGTCTTCCTGGTGCGTGTAGATGCTATAAGGCAGGGGTCCCCAATCCCCAGTCCATGGCGTGGGATGGACCGGGCCATGGAGACAGATCTTCCACCCCTCCGTGCACACACTCCCCCCGCACAGCACCTTCACACATGAGCGTGCCCCCATCCCTTCGTGTATGCACGTGAATACCTCACCGAGCGCCCCTTCGTGCATGCGCATGAGTGTGCACGCACCCACTCCTTTGTGCATGTGCATGAGCGTGGGGGGGGTGCCCCGCCTTCCCCAACCGGTTCATGGTGTTAAAAAGGTTAGGGACCACTGCTATCAGGAATAACAAAAGTGAGAGGAAATAATATCAATTCATGCTTCTCGTGGATTTTTTTAAGACTGGAAAAATGGAGGACGTCCTAACCCATCCGTCGGGGGTTCACAGGGGGAAGCTTGTTGGCTTCCCTTCCAAGAATTTGGGCACTTTGCTGGCGTTCCTCTCACTAGGCGTGTTTTCAGTTCCCCTGCGTGACCAACTCTGTGGACACGCACGTGTGGTATGGGGAACGACCAGCATGCTTCTTGGTTTTCCTTCCTTGGACACAGAGCTACGAAATTAGGATTCCGGCCGATCAGGGCATAGCCGGCCACGTGGCCACCACGGGCAAGATCCTCAACATCAAGGACGCTTACTCCCACCCGCTCTTCTACCGTGGGGTGGACGACAGCACCGGCTTCCGGACGAGGAACATCCTCTGTTTCCCCATCAAGGATGAGAATCAAGGTAAGTTGTGCGAAATGTGTGAAGTGAGGGTTGGCACATCGGGAACCGATCCGGGGCCGAAATTCTGACATCTCCCCCTCTGGACAGTCCCGACCAACCAAACCTGAAAAGAGGAGAGGCCAACCTGTCCGCCGGGCTCCTTCTCTGCCCCCCGAGGAGCTGGTGTTTCCCATCACTGCTTCTTCAGAAAACACCCCACCTCTCGCACAGTTCCTCCGTTTGTGGGCAGAAACGGACAAGATGCCAAGCTTCACAATTGGAAAGTGGAGCTCCTTTAAGACATAAAAGATTTCTGCCTTTCCTGTTATGTGGTTTCACCGCTATGATGGTGATGATGATGTGCCATCAAGTCAATTCTGACTTATGGTGACCTTTTTTCAGGGTTTCCTAGTTAGAGAGTACTCAGAAGTGGTTTACCCTTCCCTTCTTCTAGGGCAAGCCCTGGGACTCCACAGCTGGCCCAAGGCTGGCTCTTCTCCCAGCGGGGAATCGAACTCCCAACTCTGGGGCTCCTCAGACAGATAGTAAACGACTGAGCTATCCAGCCAGCTTTACAACTCTACTGGCTTGCCTCTACTGTATTTAGTACTTGATCATTGGGATTCATTTGCAATTGGATAGCACAGACATTGAAGCTTTGGAAAAATACATCCTGGGAGAACGAAGGTTTTATCCCCTTCCAATTGTGAAGCTGGTATCTCACTTGTTCTTCCCTGATTCTTATGGGCAACTCTTTGTGTTACAATCCTTTTCTCTAACTCAGGAGCAGAGCTTTGCTCATAGGGGAGGCTCTGTTCTGAAGCTGGTCCTTACTTCTCCTGTCCCCGGCTGGGAGCGTGTCTTGTGATCCAGAGCGGATGATCTCAGGCGAATCATGGCCCTCCACGGCCTCCTTGATCATCGGGCTTCTGCTCTTTCTTCTGTTGTTCCAGTCATTGTCTTCTCCTTCTTCTCTGCTTCTCCCAGAGGTCATCGGAGTGGCGGAGCTGGTTAACAAGATCAACGGGCCGTGGTTCAGCAAATTTGACGAGGACTTGGCCACCGCCTTCTCCATCTACTGTGGCATCAGCATTGCCCACGTAAGCCACGCGTGTGGTCCCCCCCCCGGGTGGGTGGGTAGGGTGAGACTTCATAACACCGGCCATCTTGCCACATAGCCGTCGCTCCGTCTTCGGAGACCTTCCACGGGCCACGGTGAGAACTGCTTTGGGTTTTTCTTTCCTCCAGTCTCTGCTCTACAAGAAAGTCCACGAGGCCCAATACCGAAGCCACCTGGCCAACGAGATGATGATGTACCACATGAAGGTAAGGATGCCCTGAGGCTGTCCCAGAAAGGCCAACCGTCCACGTTGCCCTCTTTGACCTTGGGCAGGCCAAGGTAGAGAGGTGGTGGCCCCCACCCCACCCCCATATCCTGTTGCAGCCTTCTGTTTTTTAATTGTGTGAGTAGCACAGCCCTTGGGGGGGCACCAGCGGGGCTGACCGGGCGCTCAAAGCCAAGGCGGAGGCCACTCTGCGAACCAGTCTGGACTGCCAGTTTTTCCCCCCTGCCTGGCCCCAATCACTGCCCGTCCAGAATCCGTGTGCTGAATTCGATGCCCGAGCCTCCCTTCCTCTTCCAGGTCTCAGATGACGAATACACCAAGCTTCTGAACGAAGGGATCTTGCCAGTGTCGGACATAGATCCCAACTTTGCCAAGTTCACCTACACCCCGCGCTCCCTGCCGGACGACGACACGTGTATGGTGAGTGAGGGTCACGGTCTTTCTCTGGAAAGGGTCCGGCCTGTGGCTTTCCGGGCACCGAGACTGGGAGACCACCTTCTCGTTCCCAGCAAGGGAACGTGGCTTGTAAGTCTTTTAGGGTTCCCTCTGAAAGCCGAACCCTCGCCCCTTCCCGGATGCAGAAGGCGCTGAGCCCAAAGGGAGGCTAAACCCATCGCCTCTAGGAAGGCTGCTCATCGCCCAGGCAAAGCCACCACGGCTACCAGTAGCCACAGGCAACCTTCTCCTCCTCCCCACTGAATGTCCTTCCAGCTTCTTTTCAAACCAGGGAGTCCAGGGGGTCACCACGCTGGCAGCTGTCCCGGACAAGGAAGGCACACGAGTCAGCCCATCACCAGACCAGACCGGTATTTGGGCCATCCTCGGATGCCTGCCTGCCGTTTCCTCCAGAACAGATGTGGGACAGCTCAGACACACACACCCGAGGGCCATTTCATGAGCCCCAGAGACCCTCCCCACAAACACAGCCACCCATCAGCTTGGCAACGTGTCTCTTTGTACTTCCGGCAGCTTCCAGAAGTGGAAGCTGCTCTGCCCCCAAAACGAGGCGCCTCATTTTCCCCAAACCCCAGTCCCGATTCTAAAAAGGATTTGGCAAAACTTGAAATGGATTCTCAGCCACATTTTGGGGAGGTGGGGGCTGGTGCAGCCCACAGCGTGTCCTCAGGGACAGAATTAAGCCCTTGGGACTGCAGAGTTTGCCCGCTCCCGTTTTGGAGAAATGAATGTGAGGTGGTTGAGCTCCTCCCCAACCCCTGGCACGCCCAGCTCAGGCTGGCAGGATGCAGAAACTGACCCAATATGTGAGTGTGTGGGTGTGTGTGTGGGTCCCCAGATCCACTTTCAAATCCCTAGCCCTTGGAGGGAGCAGATGCCCTCCGTGTGCTCTGGAGAAAGACCGAAGGGGATAAAGGTGCTGAGCAAGAAGAAGGGAGCAGTTTTCAGCGGCTTTGGACCAGACTGGCCAGCAGCCCTGTGTGGAGTGAACGGCCTGTCCCAATAAACTCGGTGCATTGAGCTGATTTCCCTCCCTCTTGGTTCCCCGCAGGCCACTCTGAGCATGTTGCAGGACATGAATTTCATCAGCAGCTACAAAATCGACCACCACACGCTTGTCAGGTGGGTTGCGAAGAGAGCCGCCTGGCTTTTTCTCCTTCGTGCAGACTCCGTTCCACAGCACAGAGGGTCAGCGGTGCGTTGAACTGGAAGGAAGACCATAGAACGATGGAGTTGGAGAGGGGACCCAGGGGGGCATCTAGCCTTACCCCTGCCAGGACCAAGGACCACTTCCCCACTTGGCCATGCAGCTCACTGAGGGACGACTGCTGTCTTTCAGGCTCACTTTCTCCTCATGTACACGTGTGAGCCACATGCCCCCCAGGGGCCCAGCATGTGGTTCACAATACAGTAGTGTGAGGTGAGGTGCTCCATTCAGCACCGATTAGGCCTCCCCTTGAGTATATTGTGTCCAATTCTGGACACCACACTTCAGGGGCCCGGCACGTAGTTCACAGTACAGTAGTGAGGTGAGGTGCTCTATTCAGCACCGGTTAGGCCTGACCTTGAGTCCTGTGCCCAGTTCTGGACACCACACTTCAAGAAGGATGCTAACAAATTGGAACAAATTCAGAGGGAGGGCCACAAGGATGATGATCAGGGGGGACTGGAAACCAAGCCTTAGGAGGAAAGGCTGAAGGAATTGGGCCTGTTTAGCTTTGAGGAAAAGAAGGCTGAGGGGAGATAATATGATAGCACTTTTCAAATATTTGAAAGGCTGTCCTACAGAGGAGGGGCAGGATCTGTTCTCAATCCTCTCAGAGTGCAGGTCACGCAATGAGGGGCTCAAATTCAAGCAAGCCCAATTTTGGTTCAATATCAGGAAAAACTTCCTAACTGTTAGAGCAGTGTTCCAAGACTGTCAAGAGAAACGTGGATAACCTTCTGTCGGCTCTGCTTCGACTCGGGTCCCTGCCTCGAGCAGGGGGTCGGACTCAGGGGCCTTAGAGGGCCTTTCCGATGCCATCACTCTCAGATTCAGTGGGCATGTGAATTAGGCCCGCACCCCAAAAAGTACATATATTTTTGGTAGCACCCTTTCGGCTGCCCTCTCCCACACACCCCGTGGAGGGGCAGGGTTGCTCAGGCTGGGCTCGCAACCCTCCTCTACCTACGTGCAAACGTGAATTCAATCCATACCCCGTTGGTGTCAATGGAATCTTATTTTTTCCTGCCATGGCAGACGTTCCCGGTCACCTCTGGGGCTCCTCGGATGTTCTTCGAAAGCTCTTTTGGAGTTTGCTAATCACCAACTCCGTCGTTCAGGATGAACGATTCAAATTGTGCGCCCTTTGAAAAGGAAGGGAAGGCTTTGCCGTTAAGCGTTACTGAGCTCCCCTTCCTGGTCTCGGGGTGGAGATCATCCACCTCCTCCTTACAAAAAGGACCCCGTCTGTTCTTTTCTCCCAGGTTCTGCCTGATGGTGAAAAAGGGCTACAGGGACCCTCCGTACCACAACTGGATGCATGCCTTCTCCGTCTCCCATTTCTGCTACCTGCTCTACAAAAACCTGGAGCTGGTCAATTACCTGGAGTAGGTACCTGGCGGTGGCGGCTCAGCTCTCTGCTGGGGCTCTGTTTCTGCCAGGGCTCAGCCTTGGAAATGCCTTTGCAGTCGAGTGGGTGGGGAGACGATGCACAGCTGTTGGGGGGTGGGATCGAGCTGGCAAGAGGCAGCCGCCTGCGTCTCCTGTCGTGTAGGGAGGAGTGTGTTTAAAGAAGGACAGGGTCTCTCTCTCTCTAGGGTTATCTATTTGGGGGAGGTGTCACGGCCTGGGGGATTCTGGGAATGGCCGTCCAAAGACACACCTCTGCACACCCTTCGTACCTGCCTGCCGCCTGACCAAGACGAGCCGGGATGGGTGGGGTTCGCCGTCCTTCCAGCACCGCTTCCCAAATGATCAAAGTCTCCCTTTTACTCCGAATCCACCCATTGCTTTCCATAGTTTGAGGCTGTTCCCTTTCACGTGCTTTCCTCCAAACCCATTCTCTCCCCGGGGGTCAGATTTTACATGACGGGGAGCACCTCATTGAAAGCTGCCGCCTGTCCAGAACGCACCTGCGCTCCTCCATCGCTGGCCCGACAGGCGCCCCCGAGGCGTCCTGGAGACTTCTGCCCCTCATGCATGGCTCTGTGCACCTATGTTGTTTTCTGTTCACAGGGACATCGAAATCCTTGCCTTGTTCATCTCCTGCATGTGCCACGACCTGGACCACCGGGGCACCAATAATTCCTTCCAGGTGGCTTCGGTACGGTTTGAAGGAAACCAGCCCTCAGCAGAGCAAAGGGGGTGGGGGGGGGGCAGAAGAGTTGGGGGGGGGAATAGCTTGTCTCCTCTTGGTTAAAGCAAGATGGGCAAAACCTTTCTAGGGCTGCTCAGTGCGAACGTGGGTTCCCTAGCAGACGGGGGGGAGGGGGGGAGGAAAGCCTCCCCGAATGCCTCCTTCTTGTCAAGGGGAAGGTGAGCTCAGGGGAGGGGGCTTAGGGTCATCCTCCCCCCCCATCCCACCCCAGGCTGCACTGGGCTGTTTCCAGCTGGCTGAGGTAGCAGAAAGATAAGCCAAAAGCTGCCTGCCTGGGGAGCTTCTGGTATGGTTTTGCTTTGCTTTTCCCCCCTCCCCCAATTGCGAGGCTTGGGGGGGTGATCTTAGGGAACATCGACCAAGACCCCAAAGATGAACATTGCCACTCTGGAATAAGGCCTTCTCGGCAAGACCCCTTGACACAAGAACGTCAGCTCTCCTCCCCCTCTGTCAAGGTCTCTGCAATTTGTGGGAAATGTTTTTTTTGTTTTCCTGCCCTTCCATTTGAGAAGGAAAGCATACGCACACAGGGAGGAAGCGCCAAAGGACTGGCTGGCCTTACCATGGACATCAGCCCCCCCCCCCCCCCAGTGCTTCCGGGGGTTAAATCCAGGAGCAGTCTCCCTCATTTGCAAATGGGGTGATTTTGCATCAGGAATTTCCTACAGGCCATTTTGCAGAAAAAGAGGGGCCATTTCTGTGCAAAATGGCATAGTTCGCATTGTGGGAATCCCTCTTGGACAGCTCAAAGGCATTTTAAGCCTAGCCTAGAAGAGAGCTAGGTGAATATCTGTAAGGACAGAGATGTCACGCTATCGACTGTAGAAGCCTCGCGGCACCGTGGTTAAACCGCCACGCTGGAGCCCAAACTCTGCTCCCCACCCAGGTTCGGTACCAGGTAGCCGGCTTGAGGTTCACTCAGCCTTCCATTCTTCCAAGGTTGATAAACTGAGACACCCAGATCACTGTTGTGTTGGGGTGTGTTTCAAAGAAGTTCAGGATCTCTCTCTCTCAGGTATCTCTCTTATTGGTATGTAGCTGCCTGGGTAATTCCGGGTGGTGTGGCCCAAAGACACCAAGGTGTAGCCTGCATCACTAAATGGCCAATTACCCCATGAGCGCTTTAAGCCTTACGGGGTGGTCTTATAAGCAGCATGCCTTTTGCTTTATTGCAGTTTTTAGTGAGTGCCTCTGAGGCTGCATCTGTCCCTTATTTTGAATTCTGGAGGCTGATCCATATCTTTTCCTGGCAAGGAGGTGGCGATTTCCTAGACAGGCCAGTTCTATCCTGAGCCTTGGGCAAAGCCCAGATGGAGGATGATGGGATGGGCTTAGAAGAATCTTAAAATAACTCTGCCCTTCGGGGGGGGGGGAGGGAGGATCCTTGGTAGAGCTGCCTCGGGAGGACTTACGATGCTGTGTCCAGGGAGACCATTTCCTGCATCCATGGGGCCATCTCTTCCTGCATTTACTTCCCTGACCAGCATCCCTCATCCTCAAGGTTTGGGAACCAGGCGTGGGAGAGACTGAGGCTGCTCTCTTCTCCCACGTGGTCTCTGCATCTGCATGGGGATCTGCGCGCCTTGAGAGGCAACTCTATGGGGGGGCCACACTGCCAAGAAGGAAGACATAGAGGAAATGATGGGACCTCGGCCCTCCATGCCCCGTGGGTGGCATCGTCGTTTCAGTTCTGCCTCCTTTCATCACAGCTCCGAGGGCTTCTCTCCTGAGCCCGGACCCACCAACTTCCAACCCTTTTCCCTCGGTATGACTTCTTTGCCTTGATCATGGGATCGCTCTTAATTCCCTCTCTCTCTCTCTCTCTCTATTCCAGAAATCTGTGCTGGCTGCTTTGTACAGCTCAGAAGGCTCCGTTATGGAGGTAAGAACGCCTCGGTTATCCAAGCGTGTTCACGGGTTCTGGAACCAGGAAAGAGGAAAACAGGAACCACCGCAAGAACAAAGGACCTGCTCGTATGATATTTAAGGGAGAGTTTCCCAGGGTGGTATAGTGGAAAGAGTGATGGCCTTGGACGCAGGTGACTCGGGTTCGAATTCCCACTCAGCCAGGGAAGCTTATAGGATTGTGGTTTGGAACTGGAGAGGCCTTAAATATCTCACTTACCTTGAAAGCCCTATTAGGGTTGCCATACGATAAGCGTGACTTGACAAGGACCTTAAGACACCGTCCGCCCAGAAAGCTTTGCTCTCTTTATCCTCTTTCTCATCGACCCCGCGGACCAACTTGCAAACCTGTCTTCCTTGTGTTTTTCCTTCTCATGCAGAGACACCACTTTGCCCAAGCCATCGCCATCCTGAACACTCACGGCTGTAACATCTTTGACCATTTCTCACGGAAGGTGAGTCTGAGCCACGGCGGCCGCCCTGCAGGCTTCGTGGGGGAGAAGCCCTGAAGCTTAAGAAACGGTCGTTTTCAGATCCTTAGGATGATCTGTGTTAAAGGGACACACACACACACCCCGCTGGTGGTGGTTCAAATAAGGAGGGGTGCGGGGGGGGGAATCGTGCGACCTTTCCCCAAGCCCACCTGTCCCCACCCACTGGTCCGTTCGCTTGACCAATGTGAAGTAGGGTAAAAAAGGCAGCATTCTCATTGACTCCATAGGATTACCAAAGGATGCTGGATTTGATGAGAGACATCATCCTGGCCACAGATCTTGCTCACCATTTGAGGATCTTCAAAGACCTGCAGAAAATGGCAGATGGTAAGGTGATCTCTTTCTCTCTCTCTCTCTGTCTCCTGGTAATTTCTCATCAAATGTGAGGGGCTCCACTACAAACTAAATCAGAAGTCTTCACCTCCCTCTATGAATCCTGGACCCCCCCACAAAGACACACCCTCAAACTCATACATGTATTTATTACAAAATGTCAGAGGCTGGTTTTCGTAATTGCTTTTGCTCATGTACTGGACTCATTTCTATTAACTATGTTACTTGCACCTCATTGCCTCGAAGCTCTGTTTACATTAGGATCCCCATATCCATGGGGATTGATTCCAAGACAGATGCTGAAAACCACAGATAATAGTGAAGTCTATTAAAAGAGAAAAATCCAGAAAAAGTATTCTCACCATGTATTACTAGAACTGCCCACTAGAGGGAGACAGAGACCATGCCATGTACAGTAATACAGTATTCTTGTTACTGAAGAATACTTAACATGGTCTCTGGCTCCCTCTAGTGGCTAGTTATGGTAAATACATAGTGAAAATATATATTTATGGTTTTATGCTTTAATATTTATAATATTTTTAATGAAACCTTGGATACTGATCCCAAAGATAATGGGGGTCCAATGGTAATTGTATTTTTATACTTATACAGCATGAAATTGTAGACTAACAGTGGCAACTATATTTAAAAAAGAAGCACTCAAAATGTAGCTTTATTGCAGAATGCTTAGAACATTTGGGAGCGAAAGGGTGATTGATGAAGAAGTACTGAAGTAACTGAATAAAGGTCAAGAAATAATAGACCAGATACAATGCAGAAAGCTAGAATACTTTGTCCATGGACTGAGAAACAAAATGTGCAGATTGTCACATCTGAAAATTCAGGGCAAAATAGGAGGAAGAAGAAGAACCTGTTGGACAAAGACATAGAGACCTATCAGGAACAACAGAAAATCACAGTTTAGAACTGCTGTGTCAAAAGTCGAGTGAGAGAACCAGGATGATGCCCAGTGGTTGATACAGACGAGGGATCCGCAGAAGGGATCTTCCCTATGCCATCTCCCCACACACACCCAAGCCAGAAACGTATGTGTGTGTGTGTGCACGTGCGCATTAGAAACTCCTCTTTGAATACTGCATGTATTTCAAAAACCCTATCAAGAGTCTCTATATCTCAGAAACAACAGAACAGCGGCAACAAAGGCCTCAGGGAGGGTTTTGCTTCCTCTGGGACGCCCCACCCAGGCCCGTCGAAACCGCTTGCCAATGCTCTGGAAGGGCAGCGCCAGCCTCGAGCTCAACCTTCTCTTTTTCTGCTTCTCCCCTTTTCCAAGTGGGCTACGATCCCAAGAACAAGCAGCACCACAGCCTCCTGCTGTGCCTTCTCATGACCTCTTGTGACCTCTCGGACCAGACCAAAGGCTGGAAGACCACTCGCAAGATCGCAGTGAGTAAATCAAGTGGGGGGGGAGAGAGAGAGTCTGTCCTAAACAGGAGGCCCGGATTCTGCCGCACATCTGTTCTAGAACAGGGGTGCCTGGCCTTTGACCCTCCAGATGTTTTGAACCACCACTCCTAGATCCCCGGCCAGGGTGTGTGGCTTCTGGGAAGAGGGAGCCCAGAACATCTGGAAATCCAAAGCTTGAGCACAGCTGTCCACCTCAGGCGGGATGCCCCCGTCTCATTCCCGCCTTCCAAAATGTCCCGTCTCCTTGGAACACTCGAGTCCGACCGGACAGCTCCTCCCTCGGGCTCTGTGCGAAAGGACCCAAAGTTGCATGGAGACATTTCTATTCCTTCCCCACGCAAGATGGAAATCCGTGCTCTTGCAAGGCAGGTGGCCTCCTGCCCCATCCACCTGGATGCCAAACCATCCAGGGAGTGTCCTTTTCCACTTCTCATAGGTAACGGCAAGAGACCCCCCCTCCCCTGTATCTTTAACAATTGGGGTGGGGGGGATGTCTTTAAATGCAGCAGTATCGTAGGAGATACCGTGTCGCCTCGGCCGCCAGGACAGCTCCTGGATCTGTATTCTGAAGAGGCCCCGTGGCTTCCATATTTGTCGGGGCTGACAAAACTGCTGAGCGTTCATTGCATGTCCCTATGGAACAGCTGGACTGGAGAGACAGCTGGGCTTCAGGTGCAGCTCACCTGTGGGGACCGTGCCGGGCATGGTTCGCCAAAGAGAGAGAGGGCACAACCCTGAGCACATCCCAGAACACAGAGCGGCCCAAGGATCCCTTGCACTTCTTTCGTGCTGGATGGCTGGCCAGCATGAAAGATGGAAGACTTTCCCTATCTGCATCTCTCTGGGAGAGGGAGTGCTTTACCTGTTGAATTACTGGCAGGTGGAGGGAAGCAGTGTGGAGTGGGGGGTTGGACCCGTGTCATGACAGTGCCATGGGTCTGGGATCAGAATAACGGCCTGCCTCCGTGTTTGGGGTGTAGACGTCTCTGTGGCTCCACTTCAGGAGGTGTTGAGGTGGGGGGGCCAAGGGGAGGTTTTCAGAGGAGAGAGGGGTAAGGGGTAGGGAGGCCATCCGTGTATGGGCCAGAAGGCTTGCCTTTGGGGGTGGGGTGTCCACGGCTTCAGCTCTTCTGAGCAACAAAGAGAGAAAAAAAGGCCACAGGCCTTGACTCAGGACACGTCCCTTGAAGCTGGTCTCATCCCTGGTTTCTGCCTTCCAGGAGTTGATCTACAAGGAATTCTTCTCCCAGGGAGATCTGGTACGTATGAAGGCAAGAAAAACCTCCGTCTACAAGGCAGGATCCAGGCAGTGCCCCTCCGAGACTTCCGTGAACCCCTCGCCACGATTTCCCATGACGGGCAGCCGAAATAGCAGCTGCTCCTTTGGAACCACCTCAGCAAAGGGAGTTTCCGGAGCACTAGACGTTTTTGCTGTGGGGGGGGGGAGAGAGAGGATTGGGTGGGCGCCCTGGGGACCTGCATCTCCCAAGGCCCCTCTCACCCTAGGCTACTGCCAAAAACCATCCCAGGTCCCGAGGAAGGAATAAAAGAGCATTTATTTAGGGTTCTCCTTTCTTCCCACTGCTATTTCTCTTGCAACAGACTCCAGGTGAGGAGGTGGGAAGGAAGAAGGGAAGGCAGGAAAGTTGGTTTCTTCTCTGGCTCTGGTTATAATCTGAACAGGGCAGACCTTCCTTCCTTCCTTCCTTCCTTCCTTCCTTCCTTCCTTCCACCCACCATGCGCTCCTTCCTTCCTTCCTTCCTCCCTCCCTCCCTCCCTCCCTCCCTCCCTTCCTTCCTTCCTTCATCATTTGAAATATTCATACTCTACCTTTCTCGTGAGAAGGACCCAAGGCAGCTTGCATTGTTGTTAAAAGCTAAAGACAATATTTAAAAAGAACTAAAGATCATATGAAAAAAACTGTAAACAAAAAACGTGCTAAAAACAGTACTACAAATCCCATGATTCTCCATTTGGAGAGTTCTACCTGACATAGAGACACTTACCTGTGGCTCACCTGGGAGGCTGAGGTGGGCCTAAGCTTCCCCTGAGCTTCCTGTTTCTGCCCCGGTGCCAACTGGGAGCCTTGCTTTTTGAACAGGAAGCTAGGCAGAGCTTGGCCCTGCCCCCCCCCCCCAAGCTGGGATTCATAGGGATTCACTCGGGGTCACTGGTGGTAACGCCTGTCGTTCCCTGCCAGACAGAATTTTGGTGGATATTTTTTTCCGGGCGCGCAACACAAACGGGAGAGGGGGGGGCAGGATGCTGGCTGCTGCAGCCTCGACATGACCCACTTGCCTGTCTTTCTGGATGCTCAACACAAACGGGAGAGTGGGGTGGGGGGGCAGGATGCTGGCCGCTGCAGCCTCGACATGACCCACTTGCCTGATCCCTGCAGGAGAAAGCCATGGGCAACCGGCCGATGGAGATGATGGACCGGGAGAAAGCTTATATCCCTGAGCTGCAGATCAGTTTCATGGAGCACATTGCGATGCCCATCTACAAGTAAGTGCTCGGCCCCAGAGAGGGGCTGCGGGGTTGCAAGAAGGGCTGGCCAGCTGGGGCTTGGTTCCCATGGTGCCAGAATTTAGGGGGTACCTAAAACTAGAGGTGAATCCAGGGAAGAGCCTTGGGAGAATGAGTAGCAGCATCTCCCGGCCGATGCACTTCCCTTGAGCAAGGAAAACTGAGTGAGGAGCGCTTTTCAAAGACCTGAAAGGGGCAGGATCTGTTCTCCATCCTCCCGGAGTGCAGGACAAGTAAGAATGGACTCAAGTTACAAAAAAGCCAGATTTGGGTTTTATACCAGGAAAAAACTTCCCAAAGAAAAGCCCCCAAAGGAAGCCACGGGGTCCTTGTAGAAGTATGTGACTCCGTTATTGAACGACTTACAAAAAAAATCAAACAATTCATGCAAGCTTTCGTGGATTCAATACCCCTTCTTCAAGCACGCACCAGCAGTAACTTGTGGCAGTGCAAAAAAAGTTACAATGTCCCGTGAATTCATGGTAGTCGTTTCCCCAGACATCCTCCCAAGGCAAGTTTGGTGACTTCCTAGCAGAGCAGGATGACAATGGAACCCCATTGATCTCGGGAGGTGGGAGGCGAGCGCTCCAAGGCTGGAGGCCTTCGAGAGAAAATTAGATGACTCTCAGTCCGATCGGCTTTGATTCCGATTCCTGCCTTGAGCAGCGGGTTGGACGCGACGGCCTTAGAAGTTGATCCCAACTCCATCCTTCTAGGCTCTTAGGGTGGTTCTCCCTGTGGTTCTCTGGGACCTGGTGTTTCAAGCTATACTGCTTCTGATCCTGGAGGTTCAGTTCAGCCACGAACCGTTCACTAGACTTTTCTTCCACGGCAGTAGCTGGTTCTTCTTTTGAAGCCTCCTCCTAAATCCCTTCCTACAACTTCTGGCCAGCGACAGGAGGAGTCCAGGAGCCATTTCCAAATAATCGGAGGCCTTCCGTGCAAGAATTCGAGAAAGATTGTTATCTGCTGTGCCAGAAGGTAGCGCTTGAAGGTAGCGGTTTCAGACTGCCGGGAGAGTTTGATGAAGGATGAGGCAGAACAGCTTGAGGGCAAGGGTTGTTTGACGGTGAATTGCGCTGACCGAGCTCGGTTGGCCGTCTCTCAGAGATACCTGACTTGGGGGTCAGACTAGATGACCCTCAGGATCCCTTGCAGCACTCCCGTTATGTGCCTCTAGGACTCTGCTATTTCTCTGCCAGAGGTGTTGCTTGGAAACCCTTTTCTGGAGGACTAGAGATTCCCAGAATCCCTCAGGGAGAGAGCTGAGAGATTCTGGGAATCTCTAGTCCTCCAGAACAGGGGCTGGGGGATTCTGGGGCTTGCAGCGTCCGGGCTGTCCTTGTGGCCACAAGAGGCCAGGTTCTTTCCAGATGTGGCCGGAGCTCCTCCACAATGGTCCCTCTTCCCGCAGGTTGCTGCAGGAGCTCTTCCCCAAGGCGGCCGAGCTGTACGAGAGAGTGGCCAGCAACCGGGAGCACTGGACCAAAGTCTCGCACAAGTTCACCATCCGAGGCCTGCCGAGCAACAACTCCCTCGACTTCCTGGACGAGGAGTACGACCTGCAGACCACGGGCGGCGACGAGAGCAATGGGGTGAAGATGAACGGCTGCCTGGACTCGGAAGACGGCCACGGGGAAGCGGAGCTGGAAGGGTGACGAGGACGATCCGCCTCCTCACCTGGCACGGACCTGCGTGCACGCAAGTGCAGCTACGTAACTCTCGCCCCTCTGGGGACTGGACGGGGCTGGGTTTGGAAGCCAACGTGGCCCTTATTTATACCGTGAGCGTGCTCTCCCTCCCTCTCTGCTGCAGGCATTTAATTCCGTTCCCCGGCCCCCACCTGTTGCTCCAGCGCACTGACCCCACATTCCCACGCTTTCCCCTCGCCTCCGACCTCGTGGACCAGCTTCAGCCGTTAACCCCGGAGCTCCGCCAGCCTGGCCTTTGTTCTTTGCTCCCTTGCGCGGTTGCGTTGAATGAATGCACAACCTTCCACCCACCCCCTTCCTTTGCATCGTCAGCCCCTTGCATCTGGCGGGCCAAGGCGTTTTGGGCGCACGCAAAGCCCTCCACGCCCTGGGGCCTCTGGGCCCGTGGGAGGAGAAAGAGGCCAGCCGCTGTGGTGGGATTGCAACAGGAGGAGAAAGGATGCCCTCTGCAAGACGGAAAGGCATCTGTGGGTTTGACCGGCCACCCCCTGGCATGGCTGGAGGAGGAGGAGGAGGGTTTTGGACGCCCGGGACAGGATCTGCTTGAAAGGACACTCTCGATCCGTCTCCTTCTCTCGCCTGAACTCAACGACCGACCCGGTAGTTTTCTGGAGGACGAAGAGAAAACTCTCCAGCTGTTCGCTACCTGCTCCTTCCTACCCTTCCTTTCTGGTTTCCCCTTCTGGTCTCTGATCTGCACTCAACAAGTGGCGCGATGGTGCCCGATCCCCCAAAGGAGGCGCAGGAATCTCTCTGTGTCTGTTCCCCTAACAAGGTGGGGTGGCTCCGTCGGTTTCCAGAGCTTCCCCTTGCTCTCTGGAAGGGCTGTCCAGGCTGGGCTGGGTGCGCGCTCAGAGTCCCAAAGAATAGCCTGGACGTGGGGGGACGTGGGGTAGGAGCGTGCTCTTCCGCCTGAGAGCCGAACCCTTTTTTTGGAACAAGGCTGGAGGTGGTTGTGGGTCTGATCTCTGGGGTGGGGATCCTTCAGCCGTGCCAGGGCTCTGAGAACGACTACCTCCCCTGTAAATCTCGTCCATTTTGCCAAAACCTGCCGTGCCCAGTCCCAGAAAATAGGAAACATCAGCAAACAGGCAGGAGAGAGAGAGAGAGGAAAAATTCTACCCTGATGGAGAAAGGAAAGCAGAGAACAAAGAGGAGATCTTTTTTAAAAAAGAGTGAGCGAGAGAGGGAGACTTCTTGGTTCCTCAGACCAATATCCATGATGGCTAAAAAGCCGGGGACAAAGCCACGCTGGAGGGCATGAGAGCTTGCGAAAATCCCACCTTTTTCATGGAATGGTCACTCCCCCTCCACACACACACACACACTAGAGCTTTATGGCCCTTGTCCGCCAGGGACAGCAAAAAAAAAATAAAATAAAAGGGGGTGTTTTTTTTCCTTTAAAACAAAACTTCTGGGAGTGAAAGAGGAGATCTTTTTTAAAAAAAGAGCGAGCGAGAGAGGGAGACTTGTTGGTTCCTCAGACCAATATCCATGCTGGCTAAAAAGCCAGGGACAAAGCCACACTGGAGGGCATGAGAGCTTGCGAAAATCCCACCTTTTTCATGGAATGGTCACTCTCCCCCCCCCCCCCCACCCACCCACACACCAGAGCTTTATGC